GCTGTAGAAAGAAGTTTTTTTCCAACGCAGAGTGAACAGCTGACACTAAGTTTGATTCTGTAAAAAGTGACAAAAACATTAAAGTAATTTAAGTATGTCTAAGCTTTAAACGCTGCACAGTCGTACTCTCTCCATCACTCCATATTATTCATTGTTGCCTGCCACGGATGTCACTGCCACGGACGTCGCGTGCTTGTACATCATCGTCATGAGACGCTCTCACAAACAAGGCAAGTTTATTTGTATAGCACAATTCAACAGCAAGGTGATTCAAAGTGCTTTACAGAGACATTAGAAACAAAAACAAATAAAAAGCATGATTTAAAATTGATTAAAACAAGCAAACAAACAAACTAACTAATTAACAAACAAACAAACAAACAAAACAGTATATAAAATCAAAACAGATAAAATTAGTAGTTAAAATGTAAGTTTTGACAAACAAAATCACGGTCCAATAACGCAGTAACGCAGCGTGCTTACAGGAAAGTAACAGTAATCTAATTACTTTTTTTTTGCAATAGTAATCCCTTACTGTAATTGTTACTTTTTTCTAGTAACAAGTAACACATTAGTTTTAATGCGTTATTGTCCATCTCTGACGGGCACAAGAAGACCTTTATTGTGCCTTAAGATTTTTGATTCTGTGGAACTTTATGGGACGGGTGTATCTTTTGGGATATTCCCTAATTTGGAGTTTTGATGAAGTCGGTGGAGAGTGTCGCCTACTGTATTTGTCCAGTCTGAGTATGAAGGCCAAATCCCGAAAGAATCCACTCCCATCAGGACAGAAATATTTCACCAACAGATAAAGGTCATCTTTGTACTGATTTCCAATTACCCTTCCTTTAACTGACCCAAACCAAGCATTTCTTTAAATGTATCTGCCAATCGTATGTTCCTAAAGGTCTAATGTGTATTAGAATTTGTCCAGATCACTTAATGAATCATAATAAATGATTTCAACGATGGTATAAATGCGGTGAGTCGCCCTGTCTTACACAATCTTGCACAGCTACTCTTATTTAAATCGATTCCTTCACTCCATCATACAACAGTCATTGCTTTTCTGTCACATAATATCATTTCAGCATGAAATATCAACAATGGGGGAAAAACTGATGTATTTGCACAAAACCAGGATTTAGAAAGTTTAGTTCTATAGTGTTTCTCACAGGGATGAAATCGATTCGCAGTAAAACTCAGAGAAAACGTGTTAAACTAGAATAAAATCATAATAGAAACAGTGATATAAATATATAATAATCTCCGCAGAAGTTCTGCTTAAACAGGAAAGTTTTCAACTACTTTTGAAGGACTCCACAGAGTCAGCTAAACG